TCCAAAATATACGATTTACCAAAAAAATGAAAACAAACCGATCAAAGCTCGGTCTTCCAGGTACTTATATTTATTGGCCACAAATCAATGACATTATGTGACAAACGTGGAGCAATCGAACATATTATAACGTCTTATCAACTTTGACTTAATATGACGCGTTATTCACTCACAACCGACATCGTTTCCGTGGTGTAGCGGTTATCACATCTGCCTAACACGCAGAAGGCCCCCGGTTCGATCCCGGGCGGAAACAGTATCTTTTTTTTTCCTACATTTATTTATCCTGTTTTTTCTCCGTAATATTACCGTAACATAAATTTCAAAAAAAATAATACATAGCATTTTTCTATGTAGCATTCGTAGTGTACTATAATATGAAATAACAAACGAAATACTCAAATAAAGATACATGGATGAATAGATTTCTTGTTTTACGCGAATATTATACATCATGAAATGAAACTTATTTTACGTATTTCGAACCCTTTCCAGCGCTCATGGTCCGGTGTGGATGAAATTAATTAATCAACAAAAAAAAACAAAGTTTTACTAATTTCGGACACGTGTCGTCGCTAATGAGTGTTGCAAGCGGCCCCCGCGTTTGAATTCGTTTCTAATGTCCGTCGCTTACGACGGAGGCGGCCAAATGAGATGCAGCAAATTTTATCGAATGCATTAACACTCGACTACGGTGTTCGAGGAACCTACGGTCCCTGGAACGGTCTTAGGGCTCTGAGTAATATCAATAAACTGTAAAAAAATTGCACAGAAAAATATACGAAAGTTATTCGCCCCCGCTGGATACCAACTCCCATCTTCCTGAATCATTGCCGCACAGAACACCGGTTGTGAGATGGAAGTATTATACTTTCGTATTTCTTCTATCGAGTGAGGTAAACGGAGCCCACTATTTAAAAGGCCGCCATCTACTACGCCACCAGGTGTTACAGATATCAATGGGCGGCGTTAATCACTTGACATCAGTTGAAACCGCAAAACCATAAAACAAACAACATAGGACAACGCTACGTAAAAAGAGCAATGTTCCTAAAAACTAAAAATTAAATGTGCCAAAGGAAGCGTCCACAATGAGGATATTCGCATACGCCGCACCAGAACACCACCAGGCCCACCGACGCAATCGACTACACACGGCCGTCGCGGTCGTTAAACAAACGACAACAACAACAACAACAAAACGGCACGAGCACACGAACCAAGCCGGGCCACATCCAGTAGGTATCGGGTGGGCATCAATATTTTTTTTTTAATGCAATAATTGCATGCGGTACGTAATTTGGCCGCGCTCCAATTTATTTCCTCCGACCGATGTGACTCATAAAAAGCGGCCGCGTGTCCCGCACAGAGGGGAAGCGACGTGCCCGGCGACCAGGAATTAGTATAAACAAATCGGGACAAATTCCTGATTGCCTTTGCCGAGGCACATCATTTGTCCCGTTGGTGACGTGGTCAAAGTGTGAGACGAGTCACGGCGATTAACGCTGAAGATTTTGCTCTTTTATTGATATAAGAAGCCATTTTTTTTAATAAAAAAAAAACAAAACCGCCTTCAAATCATTTTATAATTTTGATTAGATTTTTTGATTGATTTTCAGGAGTTCCCTACGTATCTCCGGAGCCCAGGATCCAATACCAATGATATTATGGAACCACCATGGAAGCGCCAGCTTTCGAATAAAAAAAGAATCATCAATATCCGTTCACTCAGTCGAAAGTTCTGAGGTAACAAACGTAAAAAAATACAGTCGAATTGAGAACGTCCTCCGTTTTTGAAATCGGTTGAAAATATATCGTTTCGACCCTCAACAACATGCAAGATTTGAGATATTACATGGAATATCCAAGTACAATATTCATATAGTGCTAAAATGTGAAGGCTGACGTGCTGATTCCGCCTGCTTTTTCGGTAAGACGGTCGAAGGTCCAAACAGATAAGGCATTGCCTGTTGCTTGCTACGGAGCACAGCTGGTCGGAGGGCGAAACCGGTGGTGAGAAATTTTAAGGATATTAATACGTTTTATAGTCCTATTCTTTTCTAGAAATTTCTATTTTTTTTTTTTTGAAAAATCGACGAAGAGCACGTCTTCACACTGACGAAAGTTTCAACATGTTGTATCGTTGGCTAAAACGTCGAGCGCATGCTACGCAGGACGTACGTTCAAATCATCGCAACGGCGAATAATCCGATTTTCGACCATTTTTAAAATGTCGGCGATGAGCAATTAATAACAAACAATAAATATTTTGGACACATTTTTTTTACACAACATTCTCTAGTCCCAAACTAAGCAACGCTTGTACTATGGGTACTACAAAACTGATAAAGATACTTAAACATACTTTTCTTTTGTAAATAAACACATAATATATAAACACCCAGACACTGGAAAAACACTATGTTCATCACACAATATTTTTCCAGTAGTGGGGATTGAACCCACACCCTCTGGCGCAAGAGGCAGGGTCACTAATCCCCACGCCAATCGGGTCGTCAAATTATTGAGACATATCGTCTAAGCTTTGTCTGTAGAAGGCGATGTATTATACAATCCTGTTATCACAATTCATATATTAAATCACAGTGGAAAAATTGCGACAATCATTTTGATCGCGTGCGCCTTACAAATGCCTGCACGTGCGCAAGCCAAAATACTATAATTGGCCTAATCCATATTCATATAGCGTCCCCGCTAAATATCGTGTGAAATTTAATGTAAAGCGACGAATTAACAACGCTCGAAGCACGCCAAACGGTAGATTGTTGATTTTAAATAGGTGTGAAAATTATTATTTACGTTTCATTTTTTTTTTCTTAAATAACAGACATTTCCTGTTCCTATTACTAAACGGTTACGATATTTTTTTTATATTTATTCTACTATTACAGTTATTAAGAGTACGGAACTTTATTTTATGGATTTATGACGTTTAATTAAAAATAAACGCGATAAGCCCGTAGAAAAAGAACGAGCTATGTATACAGATGGGAAAATAGAGAAATATAGACAGAATAAATATGCACAAATGTTGCTACTCGCAAAAGATATAATAATAATATATATTACCTTTTGCAAACACGCGTCGTGGGAAGTCTATGTTATTTGTGTACAAAGGCTCACAGGCAAATAGCTCCAAAGGGAGCATTTTCTATGACATATTATGAGAAAATAGTCATACGTTTTAAGTTTACGGCTGCTTGATAAAAATTTATTACGTAAATTGTAACGTACAGTTTACTCATGGCCGTTAATTTTTACGGAAATATTTAAAATTTCTTCATGAACATGTTTATGTTGTACTATTACTTTGTTATAACCCCGCTTCTGATTTTACCTATACTTTGTTATTTTGTACATTGTTTTGTAAAAACAAAGTTAAAACATGTGTTATATAAAAAAAGTTTAAAGTTAATAAAGTTGTATCAAATGAACGAGACCGCCGTCTTTCTTGACTGGTCTAATTTGGTGAACCGTTTTAGCCGTTTCGACGCCTGTAAGGTTCCAACAGACGACAAGCCCAAATTTGAATCCCACTTTTAGCTTATTTTAGTTTTCCATATAAAAATATTTCTATTCTAAATATTTACCTGATTTTTCGAACTTCATTCGCGCCCAGTATAGGCCAGGTCGAGTTCGATACAAAATGAATTAGGAAATATATTAGGAAACTCTGTCCGCTTCGACACGGCTAAGTGGACTTGTGTGGTTTTTGCCTTCCTTTTTCCCTTGCTATTTACGCTCTACACGAGCGACATACCTAGAGACCCACATGTCAATCTCGCGCTTTTCGCGGATGACACTGCGCTCTTTTACTCAGATCGCAACCTCAGTCAGTTAACAACTCGACTCCAAAGCGCCGCCGACCGCCTCGGCGATTGGTTCCGCAAATGGAGAATCGATATTAATCCAGAAAAAAGTGTGGCGATTCACTTCACTCGTAGCACCCCCAACCCCCATCCGCCACACCGTTACAAAGGTCCTCGCCAGTACAGAAAGTTGGGGCAAATATCACTATACGGCCAAACTCTCCCCTGGGAGAAAACGGTCAAATATTTAGGAGTCACTTTCGACTCGCGTATGACTTTCACTACGCACATCAATCAAGTCCGAAATAAAGCCGCGTTCGTCTCCGGCCGGCTACACAATTTAACGAATAACCATAGTAAAATGCCCTTAAGGCACAAACTACTGTTATATAAAGCTTGCGTAAGTCCAATCATGTCCTACGCGTGCATGATCTTCGCACACATAAATCCTACGCGCATTAACAAATTGCAAGTAGTTCAAAGTAAGTTTATCCGCCGCGCAACCGGTGCGCAATGGTATCAGCGCAACGTCGACCTGCACAGCGATTGCAGACTCCCGACGATTCGCGCTCATTTTAAAGATTTGACAAAACGGTTCTTCGATAGAGCCCAGCATCATCCCAACCCTCTGGTGGTAAGCGCAGCAAACTACCAACCGGACACAAACGCGAACGTAAACAAGCGTCGCCCGCGAAACGTCCTCATCGACCCGGTCGACGAAGAGGACTTAGATACGATGGACCCACCGCCGGGGGTCCCGCCGGATAACACTACACCCACAGTTAGTGTAACAACAATCACACCAGTTCGCCCTCGCCTCCGAGCACGGCGAGACCCACACAACGCGTACACAAGGTACACCCGCGTTCCGGGGCGGTTCTCGCCGCTCCCAGCCACCGATTAGCTAAATGCACAGTCGACGGCCGTCGGGGTCTCGGTCCGAACCGGCGACCTCGACGGCCCTTAGATGACACACCATAGTAGTTAAACGCACGCATGAGCACATGCGCGACCCTACCCATAGCGGAGGGTCCAAACCCGTGGGTTCTGGCTAGCCCACCGGTTCTGCGTCCGATGAAGCTTTAATAGTCTCGGGACTGAAAGCAAAAACATCAGTTAATACAAGATACAAGATACAAGCCTTCCTTTTTAGACTGGGCTACGGTCCTATGGATTTCCTCTAGCCTCTTTTCTGCGTCCCGCAGCCTTTTGTGCTTCTGTGGCCTTTTGAAAGGGTACCCTCGTTTCATATTCCAGCCAACTCCTTACATCCCTGGTCTCCTGTAGATTAGTTTTGATGTCTGTCCTGGCATGGACGAGTTCCGAGGCCAGATCTTTAATAAGCCCCGTCACCAGTTTGTTGTGGGCTCGCTCTACGCGCACTAGTTCCTGAGCGTTTCGAGAGCGCTCCCTCTCTAGGTTTTGTTTGTGACGTGACCTAGAGTCTGAGAGTGCCAGGACCATTTCATAGAGGGATTGCAGACAGTCTAATGTGGTCTGCTTGCACTCCCTCTTCATTTTCCCTACGGATTCCAAGGCCTCTTCCCTCGATGCGGAATACCTCGCAGCAGCATTTCATTGGCCTCTCTGGTCGCCATAACCATCTCTACCCCCAGTCGCTTGCCAGAATTTATAAGTAGGCTTGGTCTACCTACTTCAGATACCGGCGACCCCGGAAAGGATGGGTCATCATCTGACACAATGGATCTCGGAGGAATGTCCTCCTGTCTCCAGCTCGCGACTATCTGATACGCTGAGTTGGTTGGATCCGGTTGTATCGAGTGAGCGGAGATGTTGCTCCTTGCAGAGTAATTCGACCGTGGGGCAGTGATTTCTGGGAAGGACTTTGCTGTCATTGATGCAGCGGTGGTGGTATCATCCGGATCTGATGGATTAACGCTTTGGGGTGGCGGCGTCAACCTGTCGATTTCCGTAGTCTTTTTTAGTAATTTTTCACGCAGCGTTCGCAATGGTCTTGCAGGTGGAATGGATGCGGGAGCAGTTTTCGAAGACGATGAGGTCTCTGCCACTGATGTCTTCAAGGTTGGCTTGTTAAAAGACATTATTACAGACTACTTACAGAGACGGCTTATAAGCTAGAGTTAATCTTATATGTATGTATATATTTATATATATGTATTTTTTTATTGTTATTATTATTATTATTATTTTTATTTTTTATTATTATTTTTTTTTAATTTATGAACTCACTGCTGTGGTTTGGCTAAGTGGACTTCGGGACCTTCAAGAACATAGCCTATTAGTATATATGTAACTCGTAGTACATTTGTAACTCATAGTATATTTGTAACTCCGTCGTCTGTGATAAGCTTTTCGATAAAGCATTGAAAACAAACTTCCTAAGCGTTGACACGATGACTGGACGAGAATTGAGAGTCAAATAATAAAGACGCGTCACGTTCCGGCACATTCGTTACGCGACAGAGAAGAAAGATATAACTTATACAGTTAATACAATGAGACAATAAGAAATTGTCGCGGATACGCGCATTGTAGATATATGTGGCAGACGTTATGGTAAGAAGTTAAAAAATAAGTTTAATTTCTATCTGATGTAACGGTGTTGCACCAGAAATTTTTTTGTTCTCCCCACACAAATTATCACGTCTATAATAACATACCATTATGAAAATAGAACGTTATCAATTACATAAAAGATAAAAATAACACAATCAATACAGTCGGTAAATTATATGTTATTATCTTTCTTCAACACGGACAATAACTTTAATACACAATCAGATATTGCGTCATAATTTAGATTATTTTAATAAAATAAAGAGTTCGAATCAAAATAAGTTATGTATGCATAAATAATAATTAAGCGAAAAAGGACAGTCATAATTTATTTAACGGTTGTTCAGAAAATGATAATTACGTCACATGTAATTAACGATTCGGTCATTTACACATTCTCGACAGCTGATATGAATTAAGATGTTATGATTACTAGATTCGAAGGTCCACGTGGGTTCTACAGAGTTTGTCATCAACCCATTCGTCATTCCACGCGGGCGATGCTTCATCTTCTTTCGGTTTTTCTTAGATCTATTCGCGGCTGTCAGCCCGGTTATTAGAGGTGTTGGCACGCGCAACGACTCTATGGTTCTTGGAAATAAAATCAACAGAATTCCGAAAAACCCTGAGGCCGAATTGTTGTAGTTTTCTAATATAAAAGAGAAGGTCGGAAACTAGCAAGAGGTCAACCGAACCGCAAGCGATATTCGTTACCCGTGGTACAACACATGTGGAGGATGCAGATGCTAAAAGATCTCTCGCGAATACTTACACATTAGCAAACGAAAATGTTCGCATTCCATTACGTTTATTTTGAATTTAAACTCGGGAAATTACAAGTAATTTAAAGCATTCCTGTTCAAAGGACGTACGTAGGCGATACACGTCCTGATGTCTACGTTAATCCGGGCCTCTTAATTATATAGCGAGTGATATCCTTGCTAACATTATAAACGCGAAAGTATGTATGTATGCATGGATGCTTGTTACTCTTTCACGCAAATACTAATGAATGGATTTTAATGAAACTTTACAAAAATATAGCTTATTCATCAGAATAACACATAGGCCATAATTTATATACATATTTTATGTATATCTGTCTTTCTGTCTGAATGTTACGCCTTCAGCCTATTCTACGCAGATGAGCCTATTCTACGCAGATGTAGTCGCGGGCAGCAGCTAGTAGTTAAATAAATTTCACTAACTGTATGATTTTAAGGCAATGATAGGATACAAAATGTATAAAAGGTGAATTTTCTATTCATCCGTGAAGCGTCGCTCCAGGCTCTTTCAAGTGGACTATAATATTTTTTCTATGACTATAATAATTATAATAAAGATATTTTACTGTCAAATAATTGATAAAAAAAATATTGTTGAGTTTCGCCGGTTCTTCTCCTGGTATTCTTCAGTATTTTGACGATCAATAAGTGTGTTCCAGAGTCAGTTACCACCAGAAGTGCCGCTCTTCTGCCTCCTCTTCCATAAAAAATACTAGCTCAAGATCTAATTAACGAACCCCTATTATGGCAGGAAAATCCCAAAAAGAATTAAGTTTATTTCTTAGTTCCTCTTTTTAGTTCCAAATAACCTAATTCAAAATACTAAAAATCTTAAAAAATCCACGTTACGCAAACATCGTCGGTACAAATCGTGCACTCAATGAGAGAACGGAGAGGAGAGACCATCAAGATTTCAACTCTCCCACCCCGGTTTGAAATATGACGCTTAATAAAATAAATAATTATATAGCGAATGTACATTTGCGAGGAACATAAAAACGTCGGAGCCCGCGATTACCGTCGGCCCGCTTCGAGGTATTTCGCAGTCTGTTAAAATAATCTCAAAACTTACGATAAATACGATTGCGCCACCGCACACACTCAACTAATTATACAGTTATTGCGTGGGTCCATGATTGCTTGGAAGGAAAATGCGGTTAAATTTATGCCGAATGAATTCGACGCCAATCTGTGAAGCTGTGATACTCCTCAAATCGAAGGTGCTCATCTCATAGTAGCTGTAGCTGCTGAACCTCAATATCATATTGAGAAACTCCTTGATATGTTTCTTATACACCCACATTTTGAGAGGTATATCGACGAATTAAAAAGTTACCATTGTTGTTTTATCAGAGCTCCATTTAGGCAGTTCACGAGAGCTGGCTTTAATATATGTATGTACCGCAAATAGAAGACTAATTATATATTTAGGTACTCTAGATATTTTTTATCTTTTTTTGAAACATTGCCCTTACTTTAGGATAACATTATCCTGTGTTGCAAGGATGTTTTACAAACATAAATTTCACGCGGACAAACACCCAGATGAGAAACAATCTGTGGGTCACACAAATAGTTGTCCCGTGTGGGGATCGAACCCACGACCCCCGACGCCGAAGCCAATACCTTGGCAACTACGCCACGGAATCATGATTAAAGAGTCGTCATCAGTCATCATCATCATCATTATCATCACGGCATCATTACACTCAGGACTTAAATAAACATGGAATGAAGATCCAACAGCTAAAGATCCAACAGCTAAAGATCCAACAGCAAAAGAATTTTTTGTTTAAAATGGAAAAGGCGGCGTACAATGAAGCGGGTCCTATCACTTACCTAATGGTGGAGCAAACTTGCGACATAGGTAGAGTTACAACTGTGTCAGAAATGGGACTTACAATAAACTCCTTCTTCTATCTTCTGCCCCGTAACAACAAAGAGACCTAGTCTACTGATCTTGCGATTACGTCACCGCCTATTCAAGGATTGGGGGGGGGGGGGGGGGGGGGGGGGGGGGGAAACTCCCGTTTTATTATATCCACGCCGGACGAAGATATTTCACGTGGCGGAATTTAATAACGCCGGGCGAGTTTTAAGTGTTTACAGACCGCTTTTAGGTGTCTTAAATTGTCCCGGTGCGACGTGAGCCAAATTACTGAGCCCTCTTTGCTGATTTAGGGTTATATTAAATAATTCGGTAAATATAGCGCCATCTGCTGGCGAGGCGCGAAGGGTGTTCGATTCATTTTCTTTACAAGAGAATAACCTTTCTTTTTAAAGGTCTCAAAGACAATAAGCCCGCTGTCCCCGTTCGCAAACAGTCAACACATTAGGATTATTGGCAGGTAAATAATGGCAGGTAATTATTTACCTGTTTATCGGTTTACAAAGTGGAGAAAAATAATTAGGTTCAGTTGATATTGCTATATCAAAAGCACATATAAGTGGTGTACATGTCCGCAATACTTTACGTTAAAAGTGTTGTTTTTAAATAAGTGTTATCATCACACCTCACGTCCACTTTACTTCATCCAACAACTGTCATACTATAGGTTCTTACTTGAGCGGGTCGGGCCATTGGTACCACTTGCGATATTAGTGCAAAAAGTATACTTGAAACAGGTACTTACATATTAATGACATATAATTATGTAAACACAACCTAAAGATGAGCGGTATACAATTCCAACTTTTCAGAGTAACGGGTCACTAGATGTCTCGAATTCCACTGCACTCCGTACAATCTACACTCTGCAATAAGACTCTGTCTACGTGTCGTCATTACAATAACAACTGACGTCACAGTGGTCACCACTTCCCAAGCATTACAATAACAAATGAGAATTTTGAAGATATCGTACTCGAAGAAATACATAAAAGGCGTCGAACAGATGAACATAATTATCTCTACGCTCCACTCGGTCGTAGGCGTTGAGATCAATCAATTTGTCTGAGATATGTAAACTAACAAGATTAAGTGATGCTTTGTCGATATCCTATATTGTATCTTAGTAAAATAACGTGCTCTGAAATGGCTGTAGGGAACAGGCACACAAAACGTAAAGAAAGATTATTATTTTTTTTAAACTTGTCTATACAAAGCCAAGAGCCGTGATAGCTCAGTGTCCGGCCGCTCGCCTTTAATTCCATATACTCGAGCAACCTCGGGTGTAGCAGGTGAACCGTCTGTTCATTTGGCAACTATTCACATTAAAAAAAAAATTGTCATATACAGCATGGACTGTGTGTATAATAAGACATTGCCATTATTAAATGCATGTTATATAAGTGTGTGCTGTGCATTTATTTGAAACAGATAACTTTAATGGAAGTTAGATACTGTCTCTCGGTGCGCGATAGTAACCAATAAAAATGATCTACTACTAATAGACAACCGTGCCAAAAACGGAGCGCTTTATGGAGTTAATTAATAATACTGAAAAAGCTAATACAGCTGAATGTACCAAATTCATTCTCATTAGAGCAAATTGAAATGTCCAAAGCGAACATTTCGCTCAACGATTCCGCGAAGGACGATAAAATGACACGCGATTAACTGCCAAAGGAGCTTTGGACGGGGAAAGAATAATTAATATAGACGACGTTTACGGGATAAAAGAGAGCTCGCACACACACAAGTGCTCACACACACACACACACACACACAAGGTCGTAAACGTTCTATTCCCTAGGGATTAGGAAGAGCCTAACAAACTAACCAAACACTTTAATGAGCC